TTTATGTTTGGGTCCCTCCCCTCCTCCTCCTGCCAACAAATATGTTCATAACATTCTGTTATATTGAAAAGTTTTGCTCAATGAGTTGGAATCATATAGGGTGGGTTTTCTTTGGGCGGAACTTCCTTTGTGGGAGCGTAAGGTCCCTAACAAGTGAAAGAGTTTTGATCAAATGAAAGAGATATTTGCAGCATATCCAGCGGTATACATATTTGTAGCTATTTCTTATCTCCAGGCTAGTTTTGTAGTTTTACATAAATAAGGCGGTCCAAAATAATGTATATTCTTGCTTTAGTTTCTCTCTTATTTCTACCAAGTAGCCTGCAGTGCGAATCTGCTGAATAGTTCGGCATAGCCTTGAGGCATAGCATCTCCCAAAAGATTTCAGATTCTTTCTTCTTACAGTCAGGGAGCCCAGGGACTTGCTTTCCATCTGCTTCGCAGCCTCTGGCTCGATTCACCGTTCACCATTTACCATTTACCATTCCATTTCAATTTCCTTTCCGAAGAGGAAAAACTTAAAGTGATGAATTGCACTGCCAGTCCCAGTGCTGCAAGGGACGCTTGGAGAAGAAATAGTCTATTGAACTTTGACTTCGGCCAATGGTAATGTGGTGATGATGATGAAGAAGGGCATGGGCATGGGCATGGGTATGGGGATGGGTGGGCATGGAAATCAGCATGGCATTGCTAGCTTCTCTGGTCATGTTTGGCTTCGGTTTGCATTGTAAGTGCATATAAATTATTTTTTGAGCGGCAGGCAAAGGAAGTATGTTACAGTCAGGGCGGGGTGCCACAACCAAGGCGTGGCTGGGAGCAACACGCCCTTACATGTACATATCTCGTATCTCCCAGCAACCTCATGAATATTTGTTGTTGTCGAAGCTGTTCGTTGTCGCTGTTGGGTCCTCCCTTGTTCGTCCTCGCCCTCGCCTGGACAGTTCTCCTCCTCCCTATATGGCATTGTTGGTTGCATATTTATATATTAAAAACTGGTAAACACTTTTGCCAAGCACAGGCAGAGTGCCTTTGTCTCTGCGCCTCTTTCAATGTGTCGCCTGTCGGCATGCACAGCCAGACATAAATCATCTGTAGCAGGCGCATAAATAATAAATCCACACAGGCACTCTTATGCGTGGTATTTCCTATAGGTACGCGAACATACACATATGCATGTGTGTCCTCGTATGTGTATGCTGTCTGCATTACAAGTTTACAATTATTTTGATTTTCGCTTTAAAGTTTTCTTTGCTTTCAGCTTTTTTCTGCCAATATTTATTTGAAAGGAAAACTGCATGAATGCCAATTGAAGTGACTCATGAATCATAGAATTATATCATAAAAATTAAATTAAAATTGGCCTGAAAATTCACAGAATTCGGAGAATGGAGCTGAGAGTAAATAAACTTGTGCTTATATATTTATTTACCCTTGTGGTGGGAGATAAAGCTCACTCAAACAAAAGATTTTTCAATTAAATTATAATTGATAAGCGGACGGGGATAAGACACATTCCAGCTCGCATTCATATAATTTCTTTAATATTAAAGCCATGTCCCAGGCTGTTTGTGAGTTATTTCTGCATTAAAGAACCAACAATTGTTTCGAAACTGTACTCGTTTTTGGTTCGCTGTTCTAAATCTTTTAATCATTCAATATAAAGTGACACTGTTTTTTCTCCATGGGAAAGCCCAGGAAAGCTGTATTAAGACTTGGGGAAAAAACATTGTCATGCCCGAAAATCCCTTACCGAAAATAAATACGGCCACTTCACAGTCGTTGGCTTATCCGAGCGAAATGGGCACTAAATTCTTGTCACATGCAAAAGAAACCACTCGCAAACTCCTTCTCCTTGTTCCCTCAGAAAAAGCTAGCAGTTTGTCATCAACTTTTAGCGGTTAGCCGGGAACAAGAAAAAAGAATGCTGAAAAATGTTTCTCAAAATCCACTTGTACAAATATTAATTTTCCGGCATTGCGAAAACTGTCGCCAGTTCTCGCTGGCTCTAAAACAACACCAACAGCGGGCGAGGCAAAAGCAGAGGCAAAAGCAGAAGCAGCCAAGAAAGAAAAAGTCTGGCCGAAACATGGCTAGAAACATTTCAGCACATAATTCTTATTTCCAGCCGCAAAATAAAAACTGCAAGAGGGATGGCTAGAAAGAGGGCAGGGCAGCCAAAGGCGGGGAATGCTGGAAGAAAAAAACAATTTCTCCTTTTCGCAAAACGAATTCATAATTCATTGAGCCGGCTGTGAGGAGGGGCTCGCCTCACTGGACGCAAGTGAATGAGTGGCGAGGCGACCACAGCACACCACACCACACCAAGCGTTTGGTATCATTTACACCATGCATTTTGGCCATTTCCATCTCAGCGGCCCCTGCCCCCAAGCCCACCTCACTCCCCTTTAGCATGCAAAAACCATTTTTGCTCTGTGCGCTGAAAATTAATTTGCTCACGCGCCAAACGGAAAAACTCCCCGGAACTCCCAGTCTCTGGAGTCCGAAAAAACGGTTTCATCTGCAATGCGACGCAAACAGTTGCCCATTTTCGACCGACTGCCCCACCATTCTGGCACGCTCTCCCTCCATTTACGCTGAACTCGTGTCTGAGCCGGTCGTTCATTTTATGCGACGACCATCGCATAAATTTCTTGAAATTTCATACATCAATACTGGCGGATGGTGAACGATGGCAATCGAGTGGGAAAGCGGCCAAAATTGGTAAGGAAAATGCGAGAAAATTCTGCGGCTGGCTGGCACTTCAGCTGATTAGACGGACCACAACTCGTCGAATATTTCACTGCGATTGCAATAAAAATGATTCCATTGCCGTTTCCGTTGTCCAAGTGGCGTATGCTCAATATTTGCATCGGGCACCGAGCCAAGAAATAAAGTTTTACCTACATTTGGGACCCTCGCCTTACGCCGCCTCGCAGGTTGCAAGCTACAATTCTGAGTGGATTCGTTGTTGTGACTGAGGCAAGTGACCCATTAAATGCCCCACAATGCACCGCCAACTGTTGCAACCTTCCCGTTGCCCCAGCCCATTCCGCAGCCCGAGCAGCTGTCCCTCGTCATCGTTTTGTGCACACCATTTCTACATATTTTCCGGGTAGGGTAGGGCACGTTCAATTGCAGCTTAAACGCTGTTTTGTGCACTCCCCCGGACATTTCTGACAGCGATTTGTGCTGGTCTGACTGGATCCTTGGCTTCCATGTACTTGAATTTGTGGAAAATTATTTTCACCGACTTCTTTCTTATTGAGAATCCGACACCTTACAGAATGCACAGGGTGCAGCTGATTAAATTGAATTGAAAATAAGCCAGCTTGATATTATTGTTGCAAATATTTTCAGAGTCAACTTATATTTTGTTAAGGCTGAAATACGAGGAAAACTTTCGAAGCAAACCAATTCTACGTTGCGTTCTCGTGTGTCTGCCAATGTTTTAAATTCAAAACATTTTTTCCAATTACATGTCAAAACAGCAAACCCTTGCAGGGACTCAGAACAAATGCAGAAAAACTATTTTCATTTTTTGTACTTCAAATTCCACTGACAGCTGGAAACTGAACTTTGACAGGAAGGCAAACAAGCCCAGAGGGAAGCAGGGAGCAGAGACGGGCCTTGAATGGGGATCAGATATGGGAATGGTTCCTATTCCTATTCTGTGCATTTATTGTCTCCCTCTCGGACAGGCAGTAACAGTAACAACGAGAGTTGCCTAAAACGGTCCCAATTTCAAAGTAAGCAAAACCAATTGACATTCGGACTGCTCTCAGACTTAGTCCACTTGTGCCCGGAGCTTGCTTGGGAAAAGTAATTGCGTGGTACCAGCTTGATTGTCTTTTTCTGAGGGACACTTTTCTTATGCGAAAACTTTCGAATGCAAAATGCACAGAATCGAACAACTTTTGACATAAATATGCATAACCCTATTTGGTCCGGACATTCCTTGCTTGGACTGGACTGGCTTGGCCTGGTCTGTGGTCTGGTCTGTCGTCCGTAGCTCGCTAGTGTCCTGCTTAACAGGACATGCCATAAATGTGCCGCACATGTCCGTCAACGTCAGAAGCGGAGGCTGAAACTCTGCCTTGCGTGGCATTTGCATTTTGCATCCTGCAGTCCTGCAGCTGCTTCAATTCCTGGTCGGCACCAGCAGGGAATACACTTGTGTATTTATCGTTTTGCATACGCATTATTTATTAAGGCTGGCAGAGAGAGAGAGAGAGTTGGCCGGGGAACTAGCTGGCGAGTGTGGGAGAGGCTGTGGAATCATTCCAGCTTTGTATCTGGCATTAAGTAGGCCTTTCGGCCATTCAGGACATCGGACAACGGAAGCGGCAGGAGCAACAGCATCCTAACTGGTCTGGCAGCTGGTTGAATTCCTACGAGTGCTTAGCATGCAAAATGTTCGGGGCTTACTGTTTTAGCAAAACTAATTAGTTTGAGTAATTGAAACTAGAATTCGTACAATTGCTTTGAGAGTCTTCCTCTAGTCTTTGGGTCTTTGGGCTACTGCAGTGCTGCAGTTCCTAATTGTTGATTCCGATTTGGTTTAGTTCCTTCAGAGGGTGGGAGGGCGATATAATCTGATGGAGATAGCAGCAGCTCGGGGCCAAATGCTCGATGAGAGAAGTTAAGGAGCAAATCTTAATGGAGATTGGACTGCTGATGAAACTGGGGCTGGGATTAGCATAAATAAATATAAATATATTCAATAGTGAAAGTCGATTGAAAGATGATATAATTGAAGTAGGGGTAATATGCAAGGGGGATTTTTGGTTGTTGAACTACTCGTACATTTAATGAACTTGTAAATTAGAGGAGAAACTAATACATATGGATGTGAATTGTTTCAAATCGTTTCTGGATGTTTTTTTTTCTTTCTTTGTAGAATCAGAGTTATAATAAACATAAGCGGGATTCTATTAATTATAAATAAGTATATGAGTATATTTCCCGTTTTAACAATTCACCTTGTGTTTTGATCATTGCAGCCACAAATTTTGGGACACAGCATAGAGGAGCAACACCGGAACAATAGCAAACCAAATGCTACGAAGCACTGCCATATACAACTGCAAGTGATTGCACGGCGAGGACTACCAATTGAATCGCTCGTCATTTATAAATAAGGACATACACAAAAATAGAATAAGAAGCAACTGGATGAGAGGAAATTTTACAAAATCAGAGACTTCGGACAAATGCAAGGCAAAAAGCCACACGGGAAGAACTGCAACAGCAAGAGGAAAAGCAAGAGCAAGAGCAACAGCATCCAATTAGGAACTTGTTTTTAGAAGAACTCACAAAAAACAAGAAAAGATATGAAGTAATAATTTACAAGACTCTCTGTCTCCCACTTTTCCAGCCAAAGGAAAAGCGAAGCAGAAGCAGATGCACAAGCACAAGCACAAGCAGAAAACCGACGCTGAAGTGTAAACTTTTATTATAGGCAAACAAAAGAAAAGCAAAGAAAACGCTCTTAGGGTTGTAAAGGAAACGAGCAAACAAAAGGAAAGGCATAATAATATTGCAGTGGTGGGCAAACAATAAAACACATACTCGCCATATTGATAAAAGTAAAACGTGGAAAATCTCATAGCATTAGGAAGTATTAAGGACAACCAAAGCGAACAACGTGGGGGGGAAAATGTAAACTGCAGCAGCTGGATAAGGCAGAAAAACTCCTGAAATTAAATTATTATAATCTAGTGGAAGACAGTGGAGGGCAGAAAGATATCCGCTGGCAACAACCAACACGAGAGAGACTATGAAAAATGCACAGCTGAAGCTGAGTGACGTTGACGATGACGATGAGCTGTGGCTGGCAGTAAGATTATCACAGTGCGGCAGCAGCAGCAGCAGAAGCAGAAGGAGCATCAGTAGAAGCAACAAGAACAACCAGCAACTTTCCCAACTGCAACTAAGGAGCTTAAGTACAAAAAACTACAGCACTACAGCACGGCAAAATGTAGCCTGCAACGCGAGCAACAATGGACAGCAACAGTCGTCGCTAGGCAGCAACATGTTGTCGCCACAGGCAGCAGCTGCAGTGGCAGCGGCAGCACCAGGAGCAACAGAAGATACAGTTTCTACCGGCAATCATGCAACAACCCAACAACAGACAAACATAAGACTGTGCGCACGCAAGCGACAAAGGATGCGTCGGCGACGAAAAAGAAAACCAGAAAAAGCAGCAGCCGAAGTTGCAAAGGAATTCGAAACAGTAACAGTAACAGAAACAGAAGCTGTAACAGAAACAGAAATAGTAGAAACATCTAGCAATATCAACAATAGCAACAATCTATGGCCGATAGCAACCTATTTGCAGTGCCCAAGCAGCATCAATCCATCAATAATGCCTGACCTTTCGCCGGCCACATTCAGCTGGCTGCTCCAAGTGTTGCTCGTGTCGTTGCGTCAATGGCAGCTACCCGTGCAACTGCTCAGAGGGATCGTGACCAGCACCACCGCCATCATTTCCTACTTAAACAGGATTGCACCACTGCTGAGAAGAAGATCCAGTCAGAGCAGCAACCAAAGCAACAGCAGCAGCAGCAGCAGCCACAGCAGCAGCGCGCAAATAATTAACGGACTTAATAAACACTCATGGATATTTTTATTGATATATTTGAATTTATCTGCTAAAGGTGAGTGCCACTCGACAAAACCTATTCAATTTAACCCAAGTGCCAGCACTCTAGTGAGTGGCATGCATCAGCAGCCTTCCCATTCGCCTGCACTGGCAAGCAACAGTTGCCTCACAAGTCATCAACGTCGCCATTGTTTGGCAGCAGGAGCCACAGAGGCAGGCCCATAATGCACGCCGGCAACATATTGTCACTTTGACACATAAAACCACTCATGAGTGGGATATTTTGTGGGCCTACGATGTCGTTGTGGCTGTCGTTGCCGTTCCCCTTGTTGATGCCATTGTTGCTTGTTAGTTGTGACATTTACGACAGCCTCAAGTGAAGCAACAACAGCCATCTCAGACCAGTCTATGCCACTTGAAAGCGTTGAAAGCGTCTGTGCCTCAGGATGTTTTCGCTTTTTTGTCTCCCCCACTTTTAAAGCCCTTGTTCGGGGTTACCGCGAGGCGGTCTGTACGTATTTGATGTGCTCCAAGGACCGTGTTGCACAGATGGGTTTGTGTAAATGGTTTATGAAAAAGTAAACTCTCATTGACGCCTATCACTGCAAATGTAAGACTAGCAGCATAAAGCCTTAAGTTGGCAGCTTTGTCATTTGCTGGCTAATTGAATAAAATTCCTATTGTTAGTTGGCCTGCATTGTCAAGCGGAAAACTATTTTTGATAACCAAGCAAAGTCATTTTGAGCAATGTGAGGCTGGGGCAAAAGTCGGCATGCCGTAAATTCTTTCAGCAGAAATTTCCCATCTCAAGTATCTGCAGTGCATCGCTCCATGCATGCCTGCGTGTGGTTCGGAAAATATTTTTAATGGTTTCAGGTTTTTCCCTGCTCTAGAAGCTTACAAATTCTTTGTCACGGCAACAATATTTTAAGCGAGACAAGGACCAAGTTTGGATAGCGGCTCGAGGCATTCAAAGGCATTCGAGGCATTAGAAAAAAAAAAGAAAACCAGCACCTGCTGTGGGGATGGAGAGTTGTGAGAAGAGTGAGTGCCACTTACACATATTGAGGTTATTAATGGCTGCCCATATGGCTAGAAGAGCGAGAGAAAAAAGATTGAAAGTGTTGCCAACGTTCCGTTTCGCCTGTTCGGGCTCTGGCACAAAATAAGCCGCTTGTTCGTGTCGCGGTTTGCGTGCCAAGCTATGAAATCATAAACGCACACTGGCCACAGAGACTCAAAAACTATGAGAGCAGAAATCAGATTCAATATTCGAAATTCGCATCACATTTTCTTATATTTCCATAAATACTAATTAATTAATTTACCCCGTTCTGAGAGACGTTCTATTTGGTATACAAATAAATGTAGTTTTTCTTTCCTTAACAGCAAAAGGTTTTCAATCAGAAAATGTGTTTTGAACCACTGTGCTGAATGCATGTGGGGTCTGTGTGTGTGTGTGTGCTCTGGAAACGTCTTTGTCTTTGCAGTCAAAGTCGTTTCATTCCCTTCTCCTTTAAGTGTCTGTCGCTTTGGCTTTGAGTTCATGTTTCATGCAGCACAGCACCAGCAGCAACAGCAACAGCAACAGAAGTTTCAACAACAATTGCCGTCGGACCGACGTATGCGTGTGCATGTTTATGATTTTATGGCAGCACTTCCGTTTCCGCCCTGGCAATATTGTAGAGTCTGCTCTTCTCTCCCCATGGCTGCCAACGCTAATCAGATTTAAACTTTGAACAACGTCAACGTTGCTTACACCAGCTGCATGTGTGTGGCTCTTAGTGTACTTGTATTCATGAGTGTGTTGAGTATGCGCTTGGCCCTATGACATCGTTCATACGCCCCGTTGGCCAGCCAAGTGCCCCTCTGCGTACCCTTGTCTCTCGTTCTCTCTCTCTGCGTTGCTCCCTGGTCATGTTTTGTAAGTATGACATTTATTGCTACGGAAAGGCTTTTGGCATGCTTCAAGAATACAAGACTTTTGCTCATTTGACAGGATTCCGGGCCCACTCGTTGGGCCCATGCCGTACCATGCCATCCCATCAACGGGCGATGACTAAGTTGATTTTGTTTCTGTTGCGATAACGAACAGGGGCAAGATGAAGTCGGCGAATGTAGTCAGTTTATAAAAAGAAAATATTAAAAATATTAATAATCCTCAACATTCGCTGACGTTAAAGGTGAAAAGTCGTAAACAGCTGAAAGAGAGAACGATTTTCAGGTTGAAAGGTGAATGAAAATAGCAACAGAACTTGCAAACACTCCAGGCGATTTATATAGGGAAGACGCCTTAGCGGTCTCGCTACTGTGAAAAATAATGTTCACTGTGCCAGTGGCGTCTGCCTTCTTAGATGCCTAGGTAATGCCTGTAGCGATCCTACGTTAAGGCTTCCATTGTAAACAATTCACTCCATGAGATAGTCTCATGTATAATTTGATAACTTTCGCATATGCCAACTCCCTCTCAGCTCTATCAATCTATATATCCAGCCATGTCGGCTCGCATACGATAAATGTCACAAGTTCCCTTCCATCATTAGCTAAAGGGTTGTACAAGAAAGAAAAACACAATGTCATGCCTGCCATTTGCATTATGGAACACACGCACTCGGCCACACGAGCCTGAGACAGATGACGGGCCCATCATCCAAATACAAATAATCCCCAGCCCATCCGCAGCCTGCCTCAAACATATCACAAAGGACCTGGATCAGCAGCGGGATGAAAAGGGGGGATAAATGTTGCCTGGACTAAAATCAATCATCAAATACGATAGCATTCATAATTTTCAATAGTGGACACAAGACATTTTGATTGATGGCTCTGCCGGAGTTGCCGGGAATGCCAGCTCCTGCTGGAAACCATCTCTATGGGAGAAGTATCCACTCTCCTGTCCGTCCATCTTTGCATCGATTTGTTTCCTTTTTATGCCTACTCTTGTCTCAGGTTACACTCCATCTTCTTCATCCCTCCAGCAAAACAAAAAAAGTACTGGAAGGAGGAAAACAAGTCATAAGCAATTAAATGCTTTCCCAGCACCCAGGCCCCATCCAATTAAGGGCAGCTATACGGGTATATGGGGATGTACAATAACGAAAGGCGTGTTATAGAGCGGGAGATTTGTAGGGGAGGGCTAGAGCAGGAGCAGAGCAGTAACCCCTTGTTGTTGTTTGAATTTTTATTGCATAATTTAAGCTTTGAATGGTTAAGCGTCACCTTGGAGCTATTAAAATGCTCGCTTCTCCGGTTTCTGGCCCGTGCCCTCTGTCTCGTGCTCTCTACTCCCTCTACGGCCATTAGCAGGTGCGCCCACTAGGAGTGGGTGCGGTGCCAGCCAGCAGGAATAAAAGTCAGGGAAGACAGCCATCGAGCTTCATATTTTTCTCCCTCTCTTTATCTCTTTGGCCGCTTTTCTCCGTGCCTCATTTTGTATTGGCTTTTGCGGGCTTAAGTGGTTTGGCGCCGAGTCAGTTTGCGTTTTGCTTTCAATTTTTAATATTGGCGGACAGCACGAGTCGAAATATTTCTCCAGTATACATACATACCTACAAGAATACTCGTATGCCTCCTCTCACTTGCAATGGTTTGGATGTGGATTATAAGAAGACTACTGATATGGAGTAGAGTAGATGGGAGAAGAGAACCCGTGCCCATGGGTTCGTTTGATTGCCATTTGATGTTGTGGTCGTTTAGAGGAAAACGTATACGACTTGCATAAAACTAACTTTAAATTTCCTGTAGTTAGGGAGTACTAAGGTCTCTTAGTTTTCAGTTTATACTTGTAAAAAAAATACCCAATCATTTTTTTAAATTTTATTTTGCTGAATTCGAATTTTAACTGTGAATTTATTTTTATTAACAGACTACAGTGTAGGTCTAAAACTTAAAATTAATATTTTGGTGAGTTGCCCTGGCAGCGGAGGCCTTTGGCTATGTGTAATTGTTTGGGGTATGTGCTACAAAATGATTCTGTTGTGTGTTTTTATCACCCAATTAAAATTAGAATTAAAATGAAACAATTTCAAGCTATTAAAATAGATTTTAATGTAATTCCATGGAACCATAATATAGACTACATAATTCGAAATGCTCTCTTGAGCGATTCCAAATGTAGACTTTTTCCAGTTTACAGATAGTTGTTTATGCCAAGGATATACCTCAAGAATACTCCATCTACGATTAATATGAGGAACAATCTTTATACAAATACACCAGCCATTATTGCAGCTGTCAAGGTTCGAGACGGTTCAATTCGCTGTAATGTGCTGGTTATCTAGAAGTTAATGTCCGAACTATAGAGTATTCCATATTTTTTATAGCTTCAAAGCCTAGAAATAACAAACTTCTTATTTCTCTCTCTCTCTCTCTCTGTTCTTTTGGTACTTTTTTGTTTCGTTTCGTGGAGAAATCGGCCAATTTCATGTCGTTATTATTGCTATTTTCGTTGTTGCTGTTGCTTTGTGTGTGTATTCGGGCAGCTGCATTTTCTAACCAATTTTGGTCGGTTTTTATTTTGAACATTAAATTGCACGCCGTCGTCCCAAGCCGTTGCGGTGGCTTTGGCAGTCCGCGTCGGCGTCGGCGCCGTCCTCCAGACGGCTCTGCAGCTGTTGCCGCGCTTGCTGCCCACTAGCTGCTTCTCTCTCTCGCTTCCTCTATCGCTTGCTTCTGTCTCTGTCTGGCCCATGACTGGAATTGGCTTTGTGAAATAGCAATTACTTTTTCATGCTCCACTGCAATAAAATTGCAATTTTATGCGGCCTGCCGACAACAACAGCAGCAGCAGTAGCATAGCGGCAGCGGCAGCGGCAAAAAAAGCGAAGAGAAATAACGAAACGAAACGGAAGTGCAGCCATTGAAAAGGCATTTCGAAATGGCAACAGTCTACCCCGAAACGTGGAGAGGGGCAAAGAGGGAGATGCGAATGATAGGTCGAGGCGGAGGCCAAGTTGAAGATGATGCCACAAAAATGGAAAGTTAATGACTCCCGACATTGTCCATGTGAGCCATTAACGAGTGCCCTTCGGCCAAGGAGCCCAAGCCTTGTGGCACAATTTAAAGGATCATTTTCGGGTGACTTCGATATGTTTCTTTATTAGCGAAGTTACCGGAAAACTGTGCCAGCTCGGTTTTGGATGGTCCGTTGGATGTTTTCAGATTCTTTTTGATATTTTTCGATGGTGCCCCAAAACAAAGAAATATTAAAACAAAAGTCTCGTCTTGGGATGACGCAACCAAAAGTCGGCAAAAGTGTCCTTTGTACTCAGCTACAATGGAAGTGCCCCAGAGCTCCTGCTTCTCCATCCGTCTCTTTCCAGCCTTCTCTGTTGTCTCGCTCATCCTCATATTTGTTCTATTATCACATTCATTTTGACACTTCATCAGACGTTGCCCTGTTTTGTATGTGTGTGTGTGTGGGCTGTTTTTTTTTCTCTTTCTGGGTCCTCTGTTGCACTCCTGTTGCTTTGTGCTCCCCTCTCTTTCATATTTTCTCTTTTTTCCTTTCTCTATGCGTTGGTGTCAATGCTTTGCCTTAAAGGCCCAGTTAGCTGCCCTGCCCCTGCCCCTGTCCCTCCCCTTGCCGCTCATTGTTGGCCCGTGCTCGTTAGCTGCAGTTTTTCTCTACTTTTCCTTTTGCCTGCAGGCTCGTCATTTTGTTTTAATATTAAATGAACAAGGAAGAGAGCGTGAAAAGCGAATGAAATATGCAAAAACGTAGAAGAAAGTCGCCAAGCAGCAGAAGCAGAGCGAGGGAGAGAGAGAGTGAGTGAGAGAAAGAGAGAAAAGACTAAAGACAAATTAAAACTAAAAAATTCATGTGCATAATTTTTAAATGCTGTTCATTTTGTATGCAAATCTGTTGGGTTAAGCTCGAGGTAAGCTCAAAAAAAGGGAAAAGTTTTCCATGTAAAGCAGACATTTTTTTTGGCAGCAGAAAAGAAAACCCTCGAAAACAAAGCACCCATTGAAACGGTGGAATTTAATTAAACCTCATTTCAGTTCAATGCAATTCTCTATGCAGCAAAGTAAATCAATCTGCCGTTAATTCAATTTTCAAGAACTTCATCAGGGGAAATTGCCCGAGACTATTTTCCCATCGCCAACGAATTTCACAGTCCCCGTGGCACATGAACTGCATTCCCAATCGCTCAGCTCGATAAATCCCAAACTTACAGCTACTTAGTGTCTGCTTATTGTGTTGGCTGAAAGAGAGGTTGCAGGATGGTGGGCATTGGTGGGCGAAACCCTTAAGAAATTATCAAATTCAGAGGCAAAGAGCAAGCAAGCAAGTTTGCTCCTTCTCATCTGCTTTCTTTTGTAGTTTGTTCTGTATTCCACATTCATGCATAAATAATTCTCCGATAACGATGCGAATATGTCCTTCCATACAGTTACAATTGTGCGCATACATATGCCTCTATGCTCGTATCTGTGTGAGGCAATCTATTATCGCCAGGGAAAAACGGACCAAGAAAATTTGTATGTGAAAAACTTTTGCTCAATAAAAGTTTCCTTTTGTTATGCGACTGCCAGAGAACAATGGAGTCACAGAGAGTGAGGTGGGGGACATGACCTAGCAAAGGGTCTGTGGAGGATATCTTACATACATATGCATGTAAGTCTGCCGGCAAAAAGGACAACCAAAACGCAAACTTTCTGCCATCCTTTCAGAGTTCTGGTTCTGCTGTTGCCTTTCCAATTGAACGCCGAATGCGCAACCCGCATGCACACATAAGACCAGAATCCAAATCCAAACACAAACCCAAGCTCAAGCTCAAGCCCAAGACCATACTCGTAGACCAAGGAACAAGTTGCGCAAACCAAGAACTCGTAAACTTTCGCATATCAATAAATTTAGTTGCTGCAACTGCCATCCCCGCTCTGCTCTGGCCCCACAAGAATTATTGATTTTGATTTGCGGCGCTTCTGTGAAATGGCACACATGCATCGATCCTTTTCCCCCATTCCCAGTCTGCCCAATATCCCCGCAAAAGTATAAGAACTAGCCAAGTAAGTTGCATCAACTAATTCCTATTTTATTTACTTGCAGTTTGCCTAGCAGGATATCATGAAAAGAGACTGTTACATGATCTTTTGGATCCTTATAATACACTAGAACGTCCCGTTCTCAATGAATCGGACCCGTTACAATTAAGCTTTGGTTTAACTTTAATGCAAATTATTGATGTGGTAAGTAGCAATCGAAAGGAGTACGATATGAGTGAATATAAAATGTTTTAAATTTAAGATTGTTATGCACTAGTATATTTAACACCCAATTGGCTATATGATGGGGGCTTATCTGTCAGAAAAGCAAATTCGTAATATATAGTAGAACCATATGTAGATTGGTAATAGATAGAATCCGTTTAATATTTAAATGATTATAATTTTAATAGGTCATATTTTTAAGTAAAAGAAGAACAATATTCTACAGACTGTTATATTAAATAATAATAACAAAGGATTGCTCTGGTAAAACATGGACATGTAATGGAAACCACAATAAGCTAATAAAAAGACCTACTATTTTACATTTGTCTGGGGCAAGTAATTTGCTTTTGCATCATCATCATCCAGTGTTGCCTGCACTGAGTTTGAGTTAGATATAACTATTCTTTGACTGCTATAACTCACCCGAAAGACTGTCTACTGTACGATTATCTAGTGGAATCGCTACAGTACAGCATTCAATTTAAATTGCTCAATGCATTTTAGGATTTAATTTCCACTTTCAGTTTCTCTGAAAAGCCGCCTTAAAGTATGCTCCAAGTTTCCACAAAGCAGAATACCTGATGACACAATTTCGTTTTGTATAAAAAGTGAATTGCCAAGAAAGTGAAATTTTAATTATTTGCCCGAGAGAAACGCACACAGGCACACAGTGCCACAGTGCCACAGCGCCACACAGCAACATGCACCTGCAGCAGCAGCTGCACCTGCAGCTGCATATACACTCGCACCTGTGTCCTGTCTGTTGGCTGTTCCTTGAATGGCAGCTGGCGTTTCTTTCCGCAGCACCTCTGGCCTATATACAGACAGGACATACATATCCTGCCTGACTGGCACTGTCGAGAAAATTACATGCAACGTCATGTGGCACGTGCGGTGTTTGACTCATTCTCACCTTTAAGGGGATGCGGTGGGGTGGCAGCAGGACGGAGTGAAACCCACCGCCGCCTCCTGCATTCATCAGTTGAAAAAACTTTTCTGCAACTCACAATTGCGTAGAGGCCAACAAGAGAGCGCTGGAAGAGGGGAAAGGGATAGTGAAAACTCCCAGAGCTAAGGAGAGAATGGGTGTGTGGGAAAAAGGTGGAGACTGCTACAAAAGTCCAAGCGAGGCGTTTGCTTTTGTTAGTGAGACAACCTCAATTCATATTAGATCTACATTGCATTTGGATGGTGTGTATCTGAGTGAGAGTTGTTTGTTTGGCTATGCCTCTGCCTGCCAGTGCCTGCGCGTCCCGCACAAAGTTGGGATCCAGCAAAATGGAGCGCACAAACAAAGGACTCTCACACCCCCTCACACTCAGTCACATGAGGCATGAAAAGAAAAACAGCAACCAGCTGAAAGACTGCTCCTGGCATGGCATACGCAGCAGAAGTAAAAAAAGCAGCGGGAATAAAATAAAAAAAAAATGAGAAGATCTCAGACGCTAGAACACTGCGCATTCAGTGACGCGTTAAAAGTCACACATACAAAGGCAAACAGCGAAAAAGCATTGCAGAATACACTGGGAGAAAAACGAGACTTTCAAAAGAAGGTGTAATTTCTTATCATATTTACTTACAATCCCAATCCGTGCTCAGCGAATATTAGTGACTGCTTATGCACAGTGACTACTTGCCACTTGTGCCAATAACAGACAAATAAGCAGTTAGTGCTTGAAAGACCAACTTCGTCGGGGTGGAATGATTATATTTTCTACTCTGATAATCTCTGAGACACAGGTGCTCGTATAGAAACAACGAACGCTCCTGAACAAGCTAGATTTTCGGTTTAATTTGATCATTGTTAGCTAATTTCAAATAGGAAACCAAAATATGAATTTTAAAACACTCGAGTATAATATTTGTTTACGGATATGTAATATTAGACTTGATTAAAGTCGGGACTGAGCGTTCATCTATCGAAGAATTCGAGAACGAGTATACTCTGATTTTTTTTCAGTGCATTTACAATACGAGCACAGCACACTCGCACACACTTGGCATGCAAATAAAATGAATAAATAAAATTTGCACATGTGTTGTTCACACCTTCTGCCAAAACATATAAACCAGAGGGCTGGCGGGGAATCGTTTGGCAGCGCCGTGTGGGCCGTGGCAGTGGCAGGGGCAGAGACAGCGGCAGTGGCAGGGTGTGGGTAAAGCAATGAAGTACGACTGGTGATGGTTGCTGGTGCAAAATGAAGTTGAAAGAACAAACGGGCACAATGCGCCGCCACCGCCATCGCCACCGCCACTGTCGTTTGTTGTTGCCCCTGTTGGTGGCAGTAAAAACTGCAGCACGCACACTTAAAGCGCAGTCGCAATTACATGAAACAGGAGGAACTGGGATCTGGGAACTGGGAGTTGGGAGTTGGGAACAGGGCGAGCATAAAAACCGAAATCGGGTCATTTGGGGAGCAAGGAAGTAGGTATTGGGGAGCAGTTACCACCTTTCCACGCAAGAAATGCGGTTTATGGGAACCGCACCGAACTGGGACACACTCAAACTTTTATTGGACCGTATAACTCGCGGACTTATGTAGATGTCATGGCAATCAAATGTGGCTAATGCCTGATGGGAAGTCGTTATCGAGGGAAATTAGTTGCATATGGCGCGACAATGTGGAGGTCGCGATAATAAATGATAAGAGCTCTACCCTCCAGGGATAACAGGGCAGAAAATAAGAGATTCCTCTCTGCCACTTCGCACAGTTGGCATCGTTGCACACTCAGTTGCAGGTCACCAATGCCATTAGTTTTCCTTTGGGAAATCGAAGCATTTGACACTGGCCATATTTTAACTGTTAAATGCAGTGGCTCCTGCTGCATTTGCATATTTTTTGTGACCTGCCTCTGCAGCAGCTGGGTCTCCAAGCAATTTAAAGATTTGGCACCTGCCATGATAGCCTGCCATCCCCTTCCACTTCCCCTTCCCCTTTCCAAGTCCGGCAGCAAGAGCTTCAATTCAATTTAAAATGGGGCAGGACGCGCACACCGGGCAGAGGATGGAGAGCCCTTTGGCTTTCATCAATTTTACTTATCTGCCAACGTCAACGTCATCGTCATCGTCTTCGATAGCAGCAGCCTGCTTCAGAGGAGGACCTTCTCCTGCATTACGGTTATCTGTCATGTTGCCAAGTGAATCTGGGAAGCTGTTAAATCATAGACCCGAGCGAGAATAGCAGGCTCAGTTTAATCTAAACTTGGCATCTGAAATGCACTTTTATCGCATGTGATTTATACAGAGCCTCTTTCATAATTGCTCCCAGAGGAGGTCAACTGTGAAAAGGACTGCCTTTGCTTACACAAGTAGGAGTACTCGGACTCGTATTCGTATTCCTTTCTAGTCTACTCTCTTTCTGTAGCTGTGTGGAAATTGCATTGAATATGTTTGAAATTTATGTGGCGTGTGTGCCTGGTTGGGCTCTTTGTCACGGGTATAGGCATGGGCATGGGTATGTGCCACGCCTGGCAACGAGATTAGAATGCAATCATGTTGCACCCTGATTCAGCTTCTATTCCCGTGGGCAGGAAGCACTCGCCAGAGCCCTCAATGGTCTCGGCACCTGCATTCATTTCGTCAGCATAAACAGGACTCACTTGCACTCTCACGTACCCTCGCACGCAGAGGAGATGGTTTTGGGCATGCTTGGCATACTTTTCCAACGATTTGAATGCATTTTCGGCTCTGCTCTGTCGTTCGGTGGGGAAGTGTGGAAAGCTTCACTCACTTTCCCTTTGATTGATGTTGTTGCATTTTCAAATGACTCGACCAGGTTGTCTCTCTTTTTCCCGCTCCATATGTCGATAGAACTCTGTCAAATGAGTACAGTCCATGACACACACACACACACACACAAGTGGAGGCAGGATGGCAGGAAGCTTGTCCTGTCCAATCCAGTAGATTGCTTGTGGTAGGAATTAGGGCAGCAGTTGACCCACTGCTGACAATACCGTGCCTCGGATGCGTTCAAATACTGTGCCATTCTTGGGCGGGGCAGCAGTTCACATTAAAGGGAAAATTCTTCTGTCTAATTGATGGCAGAATGTTCCCCAATTCGAATCCATTTTCGCTGTGGATATTAATTTGACTGGTTCATCAATTGATGAATCCTTAAGAGTTCGTTAAGAGTTCATTCTCGAATGGCTTTCCGCGGTAGCTTTGGATATAGATAATAATAATGCGACAACATAATCATTTTTGAATTGGTGGGAACAAATTCCTTCCACATAAATTGATGGGGTTCCCTTAACGCGTATGCAATATAAGCCAGCTAAATATGTGTCCAAACCATACGAGTATACGTGTAATAAAATCGAAATTAATTAACTCGATGCGAACCCCGAGTGCTCCGACACAGGCAGGCACTCATTTGAAATTCCCTTGGCTTTGTAAAATGTGTGCGATTGCGGTTATGTATTCGAAAGATATAAATGGCATACATACATATATACGAGTAGATGTGGTCTCCGGGTAATGCCTTGTAAATATTTGCCGTCAGCTATCATTTTGATAATGGAGTTTCAAATGTTTGCCATTCATGCTCATAAACATATGTTGACGTGATGGAAAAGCCAACTTCGCCGAAAAGTCGGGCGCCGTGCCGGGGGGCGTGGATGTGCAAAAATGTGCAAAAAGCCACGCCCACAAGCCAGCTTAATTGCATTTACCAAGTGCTGGAGCAAGGCACGCACGGCCCCGAAAGCAAAATAACTTCTTGCACTCTGTTTCAATTAATTTCTGGTCGTTGAGCGAAGCGGAAGGAATGAATAAAAAAGTGTTTTTTAATTAAATGCGCCGAGTGAATGCAATGCCCACACTGAAGTATAATCCATATTATATTGAGTGGCGCACAAAGATGGAAATAATGAGCACAATGATCGGGCCACTTAAGGGGTTCAAAAGGAAGTAAAGCTCCGTGCGAGTCAATGCGAATATATCGTCAGTTTACAATTGCACAAATGCCATAAAGAACCAGAGGAAGGAGTAAATGCACAGGTTGCGGCAGTCAAGAATGTTGCGTACTCTAGAATTGAATTTCCTTCCTCCAGGGATCTACTAAATGGATAAGTATAAATATTAATATTTTATATTTGTTTATGGGGAGATGGGGGGAATTCTATAGAGGTTGGCAATTTTGTGGCAAAATTCCCCATCTCTAATTTGGATTGTTAAGTCATTTAGTCAAGATATGTGTATGGTTTTATAGCGGTATTTATTGCACGTTGAACGTTTGTATCTACCCTTCCGAAATTGCATTGCTGGGTACGAAAATCTCCTTCATCGAAGTAACCGAATAAACATACTTTCGGCACACTCTGTAATCAGCCAGAATGACAAATGAAATGGGAATAATCGAAAGCCATGTTGAAAAAATGTAAAAGCAAATACGAGGAGAGAGGAGAGAAGCAAAGTAAGCAAAGAGAAGATAGAGCAACAGAAAGAAGCTCTGAAGTTTCCTGTCGTGACCTCTGCGGAAGAAAACCCTAGAGTGGGAAGTGGGAAGCTTCCGAGAGGGTCGGGGAAAGTAAGAGTACAAATAAAACAACTCCCGAGCGCATTAATTAAAAAGGCGCAGACAAAGCGAGGCGTAGATTAATTGGCGTCAATGGGAGCCGGCAAAAGAAGCGGCACAGCAAGGAAACCGTCCCAGATTCAGATAAGGGCCAAGACGCTACGAGCAAGGCGAAGTATGCGGTTGAGCGGGCTGGGGTGCAGCGGTGGGGAAGTGATTAAGTAGATGCTGGATGAGAAGGGGCTGGATATCAACGGATATCAGCGGAAAATGAGTAATGAAGTCGAGCTGGGGCAGCCATTTTTTATGCACACAGGACAATGAGAAACTAGGCCTCTGTCTGCGTCTGTGTATCACTGCATGTGTTTGTGCGTGTGCGTGTGCGAGTGTGCGTGGGGAATGAGCTCCGCGTTGTATGCCACAGTTGTATACCATGCACCCGGTACTCGTAGAGTTCCACTGTATATTGAATTCCCGCCATTTAACTACGAAAATCGCAGAGAAAGCTAATTTTCAAATTACAGCCAGAATAAATCATAGGAATATATCATATTCCTATTCGGTAGGGCTGCTTAGATCGTTCCCGGTTAACCGGTATCCTATAGTCGAGGCGTCAACTCTACCGTTCGTACTCGTACTGTTTCGAGTTGCTTTTTTAAATTCCCCGAACGCTGTTGCTTGCCATGTCAATGAACCGACTCTGCCTATGGCTCTGTATCTGGCTCTGTGGCTGTGGCTGTTTCTGTGCCTGTGCGTGTTTGTGTACCGCACATGTGTATGTATGTTTGTACGCCAGTCCCTGTTTGTGTACATGCAAATTTCCGCGTGCCGAAACTTGTCTTTGGCCTGGTCGAAGGCAGCGTAGAGCAGCGCAAAAAAATAAAAACGAGAAAAAAATAAAAGCTCTTGGGTTGTAATAATTTTGCCGTTTGCTTTTTCTGCTCATTTAAAATTCAACAACTGCCGCTCATAGCTGCCATTTATTTATACTTTTCCTTTGCCACAGACACTCATACACAGACACGTAGACTTGCCTCCCTCATACACTATTTGAATGAGAATAAGCTTCGTTTATGGGAGTTCTGTACCTTCACACCGACCACACCCTTCCCCCCAGGCCATTCATCTGCTGACTCGGCCTGCAGGCTGCAATAGCAAGACAGCTAGACCAAGCCAAGCAGACAGCGACCGCTACCAAAAGAAGCCACCACTTTCCTACTTCTGTATGCATTCGTCTGGTCTCGGCCCCGTCTCTTTCGGCTCACGTGATAATTATGTACTCCTTCACAAGGTATCACTTATTTGCTTAGACGTTTGCCTGTCCAACATCTGTGTTATATCTGACTCGAACAAACACAACCAGTTGTATAATAATAACAATAATAATAATTTATGGCCACTTTTTGTTTCAACCTAAAATAATTGGTTGCAAATTTTATTCTATGTGGTTTCATTTATTAAACCAATCTAATAGGATTTGTATTTAATGGCTAACTTTTAAATATTTTAGCTGCTTAATTTTGGGACCCGACCATAATGAATACATTAGAGTATGATTAATTCGTTTTATAATGCCCTGGGTCTCGTGAATCTCTTTTTGTGCATTTTAATTAAATTTTGTTCATTTGTAGCTCGCACAGTTTTTGCGGTCTTACCATTATAATTGTACATATAACACATTTTTGTATTGCTGCAAATGAACATTCGCATATAAAATGCAAATTGGAAGTGGAATTCAAGCTAGAGTGGGAGTGACAGAAAAGGCAGCGCTACCTAACGAAGGATAAATTGTAAAGAGAAGCCAACGTCCCGTAACGAGGAAGAGCCATCAGTTGACTGGGCGTGGATTCTTCGTCTGAGGCTTAAAGATGAAGTGAAAAGTTAAAGATCACATTTAAAACCAATCTACATGTGAAAACAGGGCGTGGATTACAGCTAGCCTTGCACCTAGCGGAATCTGAAACACCCAACTATGTGACCATCGCAGCCACTCCTTTTTCGTAGACTGCTAAATGAATTATGGTGCTGGAAGCCACCCACCACCGAAAATGCACTCCATGTGTAAGCCGACAAAATTAGTGAGCGTTAACAAAAACTCAATTTGTAACAACGGAATTTTATTAGTCCTCTCTCGCTCAGTGCTCAGCCCCCGGGGCAGGAGCGCAAAGCCGTAGCATACTTTTCGTCGACCGGTATTTGTGTGTGTCTGCTGCGGTTTCAGTCGCAAAGTGGACCGCAAAATAAAAGCGTGCAGATTGTCTGTGTGTGTGTGGGGGGCAGAGCTGGGTGCAGCTGGGTGAAATGGACTCTGCTGCAGTCAAGTGCAATAATGTAATGGCTATATTTAGCCGAACCCACACAGATACACGTCCCATGTTTGCTCTTGCACTGCGTTATGACCGCAATATTACCAAGTCCTGCCACGTCCCTCCTTTACAATGTTCTATTTGCCGCATGCTTCGATTTCCCCTCTTCCACCATTCCACCACCCTTCCACAGTACGGGTATCCACCAAAAAACATATTGACTCGCCTACGGGCTTGGCTCTGTGGCTGTCTCCTGTGTCCGGTGCCCTGTGCCTTGTGTGTGCTCGCAGCAGTTGCATTGGAGTCCTGTAGCTAGGAATCGGTGGCTCCATTTCATCTCTACCGCATTTCTGTCGCATATTTGAGCCCATTTTGTGATTGCACTTGCACACTGACTAACGGAAATTGCTCGGCCAAAATATTTGTGCAATGCGATGCCTCTGCTCATCCCGATTCTTTTCTGTCCTGCTCCGTTCCGCTCCGTTTCGGTCCGTTTCGCTCCTACAGCTCCTGGCTATCTTTGTTAGTTAAGCGCCAGAGATTTTGTTTTTCGCAGTTGTTTTCATTTCATTTTGCCCAGCTTTTTGGAGTTGCTTTCCGTTGCTGCTGTTGTTGTCCGAGTGGACCATGAATATTTCAGGCATTTAATTGTAAATTACACATACGCCCTGTGTGCAGTTGGTGAATTTTTTAAGAGCTGTTGGCCTGCTCCTGTTTTTGCTGGTTCGCTGGTTTTATTGTAATGCGCGGATTTGGTTATTGGAGCGCATCCCAGGGGCACGTTGGTTAGATCGCATTTAAAAATTTAACTCTCTTGATTAAAGTTCGCGAACAATTTGTCAGGCTTTTCGGCTTTTTATTTTTACTTTTCTACTGTTTGGGAGGAGGTCTGAAACTATGCAAGGGATATATTATAAAAATATTATTCTAATAGGAGTCGCACTCCTAATACGAAAATATATTGGGATCCTCAGAGAGGTGTGTGTTTTCCCTCTCTGGATGTATCGTGAGCCACGCCATCTCATTGGCAGGTGATCACATTAAGAAGAACTGTATAATTTGTTGTGCAATCTTTTAATAATAATTTGGCAACAAAAAATAAAACTTTTGTAATTTATAAATAGAAAATAGTTTTTTGTTTCCAGTCTGGACAGCTGTTACAGTTCCTACGATTTGCAATCAGTTCGAATCAACCTCAGATGTTTTTCCAGCTTTCATTTGCCATTTAACATGCATGAGTGGGCAACCAACCAATTCCCACCGCAGGTCGCATCCGCTGTGGCAGGAAATACTCTAAAAAAAAAAAGGCTGCGCAAACTTTTTCCGCTGAATAAAGTTATATGCGGGCTCGCACATACATATGCAATTTGTTGTGTTAATTAATAATATTTGATTGCGAGCGACGTGTGTAATGAACTTCCTGTTTGGCATACCTTTTTTCAGGACGAGAAAAATCAATTGCTTGTCACGAATGTGTGGCTGAAACTGGAGTGGAACGACATGAACCTCCGCTGGAACACCTCCGACTACGGGGGAGTGAAGGATCTACGCATACCGCCGCATCGCATCTGGAAGCCGGACGTGCTGATGTACAACAGCGCCGACGAGGGATTCGACGGCACCTACCAGACTAATGTCGTGGTGAGGAACAACGGGTCGTGTCTGTATGTGCCGCCGGGAATCTTTAAGTCGACATGCAAGATAGATATCACGTGGTTTCCCTTTGACGATCAGCGTTGCGAGATGAAGTTCGGCAGCTGGACCTATGATGGATTTCAGGTTTGGTTCAGTCTCCAACAATGCACAAGCAGGGCAACCAGGAAGTACTCACAAGACTCGTAGTTGTTTTGCTTACTTAATTACACTTGAAAGAATTTTTGGTTTCGTCAGTACGTTTTCGTTTGTTTTGCTGTATTCGTTTGAAGCGAGCGAAAATATTTATATTATTCTACCCTCTCCCCGAATATCATATATAAAAAAAGCTGGATTTACAATTACAAGATGAAACTGGCGGTGATATCAGCAGTTACGTGCTCAACGGCGAGTGGGAACTACTGGGTGAGTAAGCCAACGTCGTTCGGAGCGACATCCTCAACATATCCGACATATGAACCAGATTCACTATCCAAACCCAAACTCTCAGCAGCCGTTGCTTCTTTGGCAAGTGACTCACGTTCTTCAGACAGATACAGACAAATTGAGAAATTAATTCAGATACTCTCCCCACTCTCTGTGTGTGGAAGTTCGTTCATCTTGCCTGCTGGCAATGCGAACCACAGTACTCTTCTCATCTCTCCAGGAGATGATGGTCCGAAGCGGCCGATTACTTTTGTGTACCGCACACAAACACACACTTCACATGTAACTTTCTCTTGCTATCTCTCTCTCTCTATCTCTCTCTGTTTCTATCTTACTTACTCTCTCTCAAAAAAGTCTCGAAGCTGCAATCAGGGTTCAAGCTGCGAACTAAAGTTCCGAACTCGTTCCGTTCGAAACTACGACTGCGTTTGCTCATCGCAAGCTGATTGAACCAGTGCCGGAGCAGTGGAAAGCACTGCCTGTCACCTTCAATCAGCTAAAGATGAGAGCGTTTATTATCACTGCTTTGATATTTCTCACACTTGTCGGTCTCTCAGTCTCGGTCTCGGTCTCTCATCATCCCATTCGAGGTCGATGCGGTCAATACGGAATGAAGTAGGGCACTTCATGAACCCTGTTACCCGTACAACCCCGTACTACATTACTCTATACTCAACTCTACTACTTTCGTACTTCACTAAAACCCACACGCTTATCCAGTGTTCTCCCACTCACTCTACTCTTTCAAAACATCAAAGAAACCAAAAACTCTACTTTCAATAAGACTATCACAAAATGTTTGGGCGCTTTAACTTTTAAAGTCCGAAATAGCCGCGTAAACGTTTCGATTGCCCTTTGTAAGAACTCTGATTGGTGGAGCATACCGTTAGACTACCCAACAGCCTAAATATGCTACTCCAATCGCAGGTGCTAATGAGTTATTAACCTAACCAAGAGGTAAGGCCTGGCCCGTGTATGCACTCCAATTAGAACATTTTATCCTGGAATCTATTAATAGTTTTCTTTATCGAAGCTAACGGCATGTAAAGCGATTACGAATGAATGCTGAATAGAATGTATTTACATATAACCAAAATACAAATAAACTTACTGCAGATACAGATACAGCTGTAGACCCCTGGGTTGTAGAGCTAGCTAAACCTTTTGAATTTTGCCTATACTCTATGTGCGTAAACTGGGTTCACTCGCTAGGCTCTGGGTCAGATAGTTTATCTTAGCTCCATCCCCCCTTAATTCTCTAATTGACTACTCTGCATTCAGTGAGGCTTTTAAATTGGAAATAGCAATGCAGAAAGACAAGAGAAACACAAATTACAGAAGCAAAAAATAAAAGAAAATTTAAATTAAATACGAACTCTGGCACTCCCCCTCCCCCCACAATCAAGCATCCACTCACAGACAGAGTGTAAATTGAACTTTTCTGCATAAAATGCTGAGCTGGCAGAAAGTCTAGCCACGCCCTCGATCCGTAAGCGTTTTCCCAGTCAGCGCAAAAATGCCACCAGTGGTGCTGAGGGGAAAATGAAAAAGAGCTTTGCTCTTTAGTCCTCTGCACAGCCACGCACCAGAACCAATTAAGAAATTAAAGGACAAATAAGTCCGCATTCTCTCCCCCCCTGTCTAACCCCCTGTCATATATGTGCACTATAAATTAGCGCTACCACAAATACAGACACTCGTATAGCCGAAAAGTTTTCCGCTCCACACTAGCCACAAAAGTGCAAAAGAAAAGTTTGTGCAACAAATTTTATTTTCGTTTGCCGACTCCTTTCATTTCAGTTGCTTTTTTGTTGATTTCGTTTTGGCTTTTGTTTTTTACTCTATGCGTAATGTTTCGGGAGTTTTCCAAGGTTCTTCCGCTGGCTCTTTTTCCTATCCACCATTGTTTTCGGTGCGCACTTGCGGCCGCTTCCCCAGCCAGTTTATGCAAATTATTTTGAGTTGGCAAAGTGCTCCCGATATGGGAGGTGCAGAGACTGTGGTCGGGCCCCAAAGTGGGATGGTGGCTGGGTAATTTTTTAAATACTCCACCAAGGCGATTTGTTCGCCGCTCTTGTAATTCCCCTGATAATCTTGGAGTAAGTTGAGCAGATAATTTAGTCTGAAGTTTGAGGCTAGGCATATGGATCACGCTCTCTGCCAATAGTCTGTACGAGTATTGCGAATATATTTGCTAACATGTCGGGGGCAATGGCCGTGAGGGGATAATAGCAATTCATAGCTTGGAGTAGAAGTCTGCCTCACAATCGGCATACTCGTAATTCATCGCCTAAAATGCCGAAATTCTTCAAGCAGTGTTTTAGTTTCCCGTATAGTACTTATCAACATATTGAGTATCCATTAGCAACTAGCAACCACTGAAAGGGTACAACCCAAAGGTGGATTTAAGATTTACAATCATGAAATCCCGTTTACACCACTCTACTCTCTACTTTACTTTCTCCGCTTATATGCATATATAACCCGCAACGAAATTTCCCTTCTACACATAACTTTTCTAGTATTTACATTTGAAGCAAAGTGCATAAAAACTTTTCCCTATAGTAAATTGCTCGGCTCTGCTCTGGTCTTACTTAACTTTACTTACAATTAGTTGCCTAGACAAATAAAACTCTTTCCGAAACTAAGTTTACACTCAACTAACTACACCCATTCCTAGTTCCAGCTCCATTCCCATTCCCACTCCCACTCCACGGCATGCACAACACATTTCAGACTCCACACTTCACAGTCCACACTCCCTGCCCAAGCAAACATTTCTACCTCCCATGCATACTCGCATCATATCTATCCCGCATATCGTATACACACATGTATATTTATAGAGAATACGTTATTCAAAATTAAGTACACCGACTTTAAACTTTAAATGGCAAGATTACTTCTAATTACACTTACCAGCAACTCTAGTCTTTGCTCTGCTCTGCTCTGCTCTATGCCCAAGAACGCTATCGTAACTCTTATCCAATGCTTACTCTCCTATCATACTCGTATTCCTATTTAACTTGTATAATGCCAAGAAATGCTCGAAACAAATGCTCAGATCAAGTCCTAAGTAAAGCTGCCACAGATACATACTCGTATACGCATTGCGTATGGGTTTCGTATCAATCGAAACACAGAAACAGAGATGCCTCTCCACCACGAATATATCTTGTATTAATGCTCTTCGTACAATTGAACCACCGTAGGTGTTCCAGGCAAGCGTAACGAGATCTATTACAACTGCTGCCCGGAACCGTATATAGACATAACCTTCGCCATCATCATCCGCCGAAGAACGCTATACTACTTCTTCAATCTGATTATACCCTGTGTGCTGATTGCTTCAATGGCTCTGCTGGGATTCACTCTGCCACCGGATTCGGGTGAAAAATTATCGCTGGGTAAGTTCTAGTGTTCTAGTGTTATAGTTGGGGGACTTTGGAGGGGGTACATTAATTTGAAACCACTTACGCAACACAAATACTTATGAATTATGGAGAAGGGGAACCGCCCACACATGCAAACAGCTCGAGAGCCGCTTCAAAAGTATTTGCCAAGTACTTACTTTTTAAATAATGACAGACTCGTCTACAGCGCGGGCGAATTTAAAATTAGATGCCTCCCATAATGCTGTTGATGAGCGCTTGAAGAGAGCCCACTGAGAACCGAACCGAACCGAATCGAGCCACTCACTCGCTAAACTGACTGACTGACTGACTGACTGACTAACTGACATGGCGCATTACTCGTTATTGCCATCGCTCCCCTTCCTGCTGTTAGTGTCGCTGAAGATGACGGCACAGTCCCAGCAGAACCCAGCCCAGATCCTTGCAAGCGTTGGCAAACAAACTATTGAACTTTTAATGTTGCTATGACTGAGTAGTAAAAAGTGTTCAACGAGCCGGGCGTAAGGAATGTTCCGGCTGGCTGTTAAGCACTCGCCTCAAATGTGCTGTCGATTTGGCGGACGAGTCAGGGAATTAGTGGGGTGGAAAATCAGTAGGGACTCGACGAAAGTTGAGGGCTTTTACTTCAGCCAAAGTTGAGTGCTCAAAACAGGAATAGATGGCTAGCAAGTGGGTGTCGGAAAGTACCTAAAACTACTTAAAGATTCCCAGTCGCAGGAAGGGGAGGGTTGCACAAGTGAAAGGAAAGATTCTGGCAGTATTAGTCATACTACTTGTACGGTATAAGCAATCCTACTTTTGGGAACTGAGAAAACGGACATAGAAATACATTAATGCTGATTTTAAATCATAGAGATAGTCACTTTAAAATGTTGCAGGTTACAAGCAACGAACAAAAATCAGACGGAAAAGACGGACTGTTAATGAACAAATAATTAAATGATCACTCACAGCAGACACTATACGAAATAAGAGCCTCCGTCACTTAACCGTCTTCCTCATCCGATATCTAGGTGTTACCATCCTGCTCTCGCTGACCGTGTTTCTCAATATGGTTGCCGAGACTATGCCAGCCACATCCGATGCGGTGCCTTTGTTAGGTAAGACCATTTTGTTTACCGAAACTAGTCGATGGTAATGCTTCTTGTAAATGTAAATGTAAATGTAACCGTAAATCGTATTATCGATGTTTCTACCTTTGGTTTTGAGTTGTGCGTTCTTCTTCTTTTGGAAGTGTATTCTTTCCTTATTCAATCCATACATTCGTTACATAACTACATACACGTATATATGTATAAATATATATATAACCCTCTAAAGTTATTGCAGTTGCATATTCATAACATATATCCATGCATTTCTAAAATGATTTTAAAGTCCAAGTAAAATCCGATGATTTTATAATATTAAAACTTTGACACACAATTAAACAAACCTGTGAAAACCAATTCCGTTCCACGCATCAGTTTCCATGACTCGTTTCGAAACGTTTCCTTTGGCTCAAAAGTCAAAAGATATACTTTATCGATTGACTTTGGGGTCTTTAAGGAAATCAAAGCTGATGCCAAAAAAAAAGAGAATAGTTTCTAAAATTCGTAGAAGAAGAAAACCGATTGAAAATAACTAAAGGGCATTTAAATGTTGCTATTAAGCTTTAAATAAATACTATACCCGTACATAAGTATATTAACTTTAACAGCCCAAAAATGATCAATACATATACACTATATGCAAAACATATGAGCTGGTTTGAATAATGCACACACATTTGACGAGTTTCTTGCACGCTATAAATATACTTTTTTTCGGTTCAAAAGAAATCAATTAAAAGTAAAAATTATGATATAGTTGGGTTGTTCCTAATTTAATAGGTATTTCTTATTGAATTATCTTATCCATCTTTCGGATGGTCCCGTATATTTTCAAGAGAGACTCTTCTGACACAATTTGTTGATCTTATTATATTTAAAATTAAAACAAAATGAGCCACCCGCGTAGGGAGCTCGTATATGAGTTTTGATTACTAGTTTGTAAATAATAATCCGTTTTATCCGACTAAAGGGATTTCTTTATCTTTATTTTAAACTATTAATAGCGAATTAAAAAATTGATCATTAAATTGAAAACAGATTACAGTTGATCAGAAATTGAGGAAGGAACAACCCCACCATATGATCAATGAATCCGAAGACAAAAATTGCAACCCATCGACCTTTGACAAAATATTTTTAATCGTTTCATGACAAATTTATTCAATTTTCAAATTCCAATTCTATCTTCAAAAACGGTTTCAAAACTTTAATATTCAATTTATATTATAAAATATATCTAATTCCGTTCTTGGCGTACAATTTCGGTGTCTAACTTCTATGTATACCTAATATTTTTCTAAAGTATTCCGACTAAAGTTACCTAAGTGTGTGTGTATGTTAAAGAAAAGAGCATTAAACCTATACTTGTTTTTCTTCAATGCCAATACATTTGTTATGCCGTTAAAATAATTGAGAGACTCAGAAGATAACAAACGAACATTCTTGCATTTAATGTACTAACTAAATTTTGTATATATCTCTTGCCTTTTTTTCTTTCTTTCAAACAAACTGTGTACCTTTGCCAAAAACAAACTATGTGCGCTCTCAAATGCATATTAACCATACCAAAATCAAACACTATGAATGATTCCGAACTATGAAATATGCGCTACCCTGAACAATGCTCCACATCTAACGAACCAACACAACAAACCACATCTAAACCAACATCTGACATCCAACAATTAAACAAACCAATATTCACATGCACCACAACAACAATTACTCGTACATAATCTAACACACCCAACGATATACTATATATACGTAATATATATATATATATATTGACAACACGCCCAACCAACCAACAGGTACATATTTCAATTGCATAATGTTTATGGTAGCTTCATCCGTTGTGTCAACGATTTTAATATTAAATTATCATCATCGAAATGCTGATACGCACGAAATGTCCGAATGGGTAAGTCACAAATAGGTCAACCCACCAACCATCCCAAACAACTACTCGTACAAGTAAAACTACAACAACCAACCAAACTCTCCAACAAAAAGAAAATCAAAAAAATAAAACCACTGCAAAAGCGACCATCACTCATTATATACTCGTACGATATAGCCTCAGTCAGTACACAGTGGCCACGGGACCACAACTGTTCTGGGGGATTGGTCCTCCCCTTCTGTATCATCTGGTACGAGGCACTGGCACTGGCACTCCCTCCAACCATCTACGGATTGCTGGAGACCGCGGATGGCGGATGGACAGATCCCAATCCCCCAGATCCCATTACAGCTATCGCTACCGTTGCCACTGTCGCTGGCGGTCCCGTGTCCACTGTCGCATAGCATTAGCATTTTTTGATATGATTTATCTCAACCAAAAAAGAGAAAGAGTGCTAAATTTATACGAGAGCCATGCAAAAATAATTTATGTGTTAGCTAGAGAAATGTTTTTGTGTTTCCTCTTTTCACGTTATTTACTTACTTGTTGTACTGTGTTACTTTGTGTTGTTTTCCATTGTTAAAAACCCCAAAGCCCAAAAACCAAACCTTTAAAATATTATTAAAACGCCATAAAGAAATAAAGTAAGCTTTTGTGTTATAGAGCTAACATTGTGACCGCACATTGAACTTAAAAGTATATTTCAATGGACTAGTGTCATTTCGGTCGTTTACGGTCCGAACCGCAACGGAAAGCTGCTTCAAGAAGGGGGAAAATACTAACAAAAGAATCATCCATGAGTGATATGACTCTATTCTGGATTTCTAATTTAACAAATGAATAATTATGAAAATTATTCATATGATAACAGGTAAAGGATATTTAATCTTGATCTCAAACTGTTTGTCTGTTTTCCTTAAATGCTGCGAAAGAGATGGTCTAAATCGTACATTATTAAGTATGGTGGTTTCTTTCTGGGCTAAATAATAAATAGACACCAATTATAGTTTAGATTCTCTGCTACTTCGAGCAAGTATCATCTTGTGACTGTGATAACTCTGACTTACACAAATAGCTATTTTTTCGGGGATAAATTATAAATCATTAATTATATTAAATATGTCTGTACTAAAAGAACCAAACTATGTTCATGTGACAGTTGAAAAACTCTTGAAGCTCCTTGAACAAATTATTGCAAAACATGAAAGTATCTAAATAGAATCTAAATGCAAAAGAAATCAGCAAATAGTTGCACAAATAAATATGTATACATATGTTGTTGTTTGTTATCATTATAATTTTTATTGTTGTCGTTGTTGGTGTTGTTGTGTTGCCGTAACAACATTTCTGTTTAATACACAATCAGCCCGTTTATGTTGTTTGCAATTTTTCGTTTGTGTTAGTTGTGATGCCTACTTAGAGGCGCTTTTGCAAGCTGAACTTGATGTTTTCAATTTGATTTCGTTAGTATACTCAAATGTATCTCCAATATGGTCGAAGCCCAGACCACAAAATGTCAGTCGAGTTTAATTTTAGCCAATGTGGGCCGTAGTGACCCGTAAATAATAAAAAGAGGCCAATGAAACGATGTTAAGCGAACGCCGCGCCGAAATGTGACGGACGGATGTACAGAGTACGAAATGAATGTTGTAACCATCCAACATGTCTAGCTACTATACGTGTCTACTATAAAATAATTTATGTAATGAAAAATATCGTAATGTTGATGTTGGGCCCATAATTTCTACTTATGTGTATGTAAGCCACAACCCCAATCCCAACCCCAATCCCAGCAAGAAACCAAATATCCCGAGTCCCCAGTCACCAGTTCTTCCAGCCACGAACCATACACCCAAGTCCTAACCACGTTGAGCCCTTTTTGCTCGTACCTCCTCACCAGTTGCACACTCTCCTTTGTATCTGCATCTCTGTACCGTGTACACTCGTACTCGTACTTATATACCCGTGTGTGTGTGTGTGAAAAGAACCTACAAAAACCAGATGACAAAGTCCGAACTGCAGTCAAATGATATATTATGCAATATGATGCGCTCTGTCCTCTGTATCTCTTTCACTCTACCCCACACATATGTATGCTCGTTCATTTATATTGTATATATGTACTCGTATTATCTATTTTTCTGTACATAGACTCTGTGTGACAAATACATTTTTGATGTTGTGTGTGTCTGATTTAGCAGGGAATGGTTGGTAAGGCTGTGGATGGCCGACTATTTTTTAGGGTTTGCGTAATTAGAGACAAATGATCTGAGGCAGGGGAACTGGGGTATCGAGGAGTATTTTCCACAAGAGTAGGACGCTTGAAAGAACCACTTAAAGAATCAAGTGTATCTAGTGAACAAGTCCCCACCGGAAGAGTCTGCACCTTTACCGCAAATTGTAATATCAATAACGGGAAACATCATGATTTTGTTGCAGGACATCCAAGTGGAAAGCAATTTCTTCGCATTATTGCAATTGCCCCAAAGTGCATAATGAAAAGTTGCGCCAGACGAGACTCGAAGAGGGAATGAGTGAAAAGATAAGGACGAAGGAAAAAAGAATAAGGGAAACTCAGTGGATGTCGATTGGCTTTTGAGAAGTCACTCACATGAAAAGTTTTGTATGGTTTTCGCGCAAGAATGTGGTCCCTCCATGTCCCTCCATGTCCCTCCATCCGAGCTCGCAGACCTTTCTCCATACAATTGAATTTGGAGCACATGAAGGAAAAACCAAATCGAGAAATCGAGCACACAAAGTAACAGAAAGCCAACAGTAGGAGATGGGGAAGGGAATAGGTATGGGACACGGTAGGTTCGGCTTGCGTCGGGTTTGACAGTTGCTCCAGTTGTGAGTTGTCCTGACACGGGAACGAAAATTGAGCCAATTGGCGAGGCAGGTGCATTATAAATGTGCAGGCCCGCGACTTCTTCTGCTCCTCGAGCTCTACGCCTGTCGCCTGCCGCATGGCACTTGAATTGGCTCCAGAGACCTCACTCCCTTCGCAGGTTGGGCCCCGTTTTGTGTGATAACAACAAATCAATTTGCACAAAATTTGCACAAAAAGAAAAGATGGTGGTGGAGAGCCAGTGGAGGGCAAGCACAGAGCGGTTGGTTGGCTGGAGAGGGGAGGGCGTTATATATGTACGAACAGACGAGTACGTATTGATATGGATATGGCAAATGCCAGTTGCTCCATTGCAATGGTTAACTTTGCATTTAGTTTGCATGCCACGTCCTGAAGCGCATTTCCATGTAAGCTTCTCGCTTGTTAGCCAAAAAAGAAGAAAGAAAAACCGCCAACAAGGAGCAGAAGCAAAACGATGGGACAGGACACAGGGCCTGGCAGGAGCAGTATCTGGCAAAGTGCAAGCGGGGTTGTCAGCTGAGAGCGAGGGTATTTCAGCAGCTCAACTGTAATATTGTTAGGTGGCGAGAGAGGGACGGGCACTGTGGATGAGCTCTGGCGAAGGAGCCAAGCATGTCCCGACTATCGATTCGATTCTTGTTTCTGTGGGTTTTTCGGGCGGCATTTGAATTCACTTCAACCACGCGACCAGCTAACCTGGAGGCAATGGATGTTCAATGTGATTGGAAAGGGAACTGAGACAGGCACAGAGACTTGCACAGGCCTTTGATTCCTACGTTGCTGAAAGGAAACCATAATTTAGTAGTCGAATCTTTTAGACATATATGACGTTATGGATACTTAAACCTGCAGTTTAATCAACAATTAAATAAAATACGAAAGCGTAAATGAAACCTCAATCGCCTCTGATACGGAACCAGGGGATATGCATACATAGTATGTATGTATGTAGTAGTTGTTGCCACCATTATTGCTAGTGTTGTATCTGTGCGCTTGTGTTTCTTGTTACATATATCTGTGTACGTATCTACATATCTGTGTTTGTGTTGTAAATCATGAATTTTGCATGCATCATAGCTATAAATAAGCAGAGAACATTGCGAACAGCGAGCCCCCCCACTCTCCCACGTGCACTGGCACACTCTCCGAGACATACAAATAAATATTACTACACATAGCTAAGTGTAATAACAAATCACCCGCCATACAAACATACATCCTGCATCAGGGCACATGGGAACCCAAAATGGGGAACACCAACAAGTTGCTCGCCATATAATCGACTCCACAACTTTGTTGCTTTAGTTGTAATCAAATCAAATATAAATCATACTTGTGGCCCTCTGTCTGCTGGTATGTGAGTCTGTTCATGCAAAGTAGCCATAAATCGTGGCGTGCCCGGCTGAGTCGAGCGGGTGCCCCTTTCTGGCCACACACACTCTCTGCCAGAGACACAAGCCATAAAACATACAAACACGAACTGTACGAGTAACACACGCAATTGGAACCTATATGAATATAATAATTTTGAGTGGGGCTATCGTTGGGACCGTTCCACTAAACGTTTCAATTTCGCCACCTGCCGTTAGATACGCATCGTATTTTTATGCTGGCTGCCTTGGATACTACGAATGAGTCGCCCGGGGCGACCACTGATCCTGGAGTTTCCGACCACGCCCTGCTCGGACACGTCGTCTGAGCGCAAGCATCAGATACTCTCCGATGTCGAGCTGAAAGAGCGGTATTTAGCAATAATATGCAATTATGCTGTTCTTGCTTTTGCTTTCTCCTGATAATCGCCGCATATTCCTCGGCGCACCTAAGCGGGAATTTCGTATGCACCAAGAACGTACATACATATGTACATATGTACATATAAATAGCCCAACCAAAGTAGACTCTGGAATACTTGGCAAGCGTACAACGAAAGCAAAAGCAGGACAGGAACAGTGCAAAATATTCATAGACCTACAAAGTGTACTTACCAAATTGTTTGTCCTCCCCCAAACGAAGCTCCTCGAAATCACTGCTGGCCAATGTTCTGGACATCGATGATGATTTTCGCCACAATTGTCGCCCCATGACGCCAGGCGGAACACTGCCACACAACCCAGCCTTCTATCGCACGGTTTATGGGTAATGAATCCAAACATACTCGTACCATAAGCATAATGCTCTGCTGGCCCCTGGGTCAGCATTCGGTTAAGTGGAATAACCAACTCACGTCCTATGTTTCTGGCCTTGTGCCAATTTGCCAATTTGCAGACAAGGCGACGATGGCAGCATTGGACCAATTGGCAGCACTCGAATGCCAGATGCGGTCAGTCATCACACGTGCATCAAATCATCAACAGAATATGAATTAGGTTTAATCTTAAAGGAAATTCGCTTTATAACTGATCAGGTAAGTTGGCTGAGAATCATCCGTGAATATTGGGTGGAATATCTGGGGAAACTATATCTATAATTGTTATCAGATTTTAAATATATTGTTCACAAACTAGAAGCCCTCTCAATGCATGCCCCAGACTGCACCGAACATCACTAGCATCTAGCACTTCCCAGACCATTGTTACAGATGAAAGTTAATAGTTTTGCCTCTTCTTTTCTCTCCAATTTAACTCACTCTCTCTCGCTCGCTGAATACTCATACCAACCCAAACATGAAATATAACCCACAAAAAACCAAACACAGCTACGTAAAGATGACGAGTCAAATGACATTGCCAATGATTGGAAATTTGCAGCTATGGTCGTTGACAGACTGTGCCTTATCATATTCACAATGTTCACAATATTAGCCACAATAGCTGTACTACTATCAGCACCACATATTATTGTCTCGTAGCCATATGGGCGAGGTGGTTATTGTTATTGGTTTTATTATAAAATCAATTTGTTAATTATTAAATTAATAACGAAACTTTTTAAGTAAATTAAAACCAAAAGGAAAACACTAAAAACCACAAAAAAAAGAGAAAAACACTTGATATAAATACCATTGACTAAATAATACACACAGAAAAAAAACTAAAAAAAAAATATAAACAAAATCTTGTCTTTAAAACGCAATAATTTAAATATAAACAAGCGAACTCGTTTAAAGAAAGTCTTTCGTAAAAAACCACATACACTAAAAGAGACTTAAAAAAAATCATGTACTACCATTGTTTACAACATTTTTAATTCCAATTTTCCTATTTCTTTAAAAACAAAAAAATCTAAAAACTGATAAAAAAATTAAGTTAAAAAAGAGTACCCCAAACCTTCCCTCCACTCCCAAATGACATTATCTAATTCTTCCACTGAATATGCATACACATATTTGAGTATATGTATTTGAAAGCAAGCAAAAACGGGTAAATTTTCCTTTATAGTTTTTATATTTTAAAAAGTAAGAGAGAAGTATTCATAAAAAATAGACCGATTTTCAGAATATTTTTTTTTGGATACACTTGAAAATATAATGCTGTTTTTTTTTTGAAAATCGAAGCAAGACCCCAACCCTTTTTGGAAGACTTCATTTTGTGAGCTTTATAGTGAAAATTGTAGATTTAAATAAATTCCAATATAAATGTGCATATGTACTTACTCTGTGAATGTATGTATGTACATATGTACATGAGATCAGAACCAACGTTTTTGAATCCAAAGAAGAATAATAACCAGATTTGTAATATTCGTAAGCGGAATTGAGGTCAGTCCATGGAAGTCCTAGTAAGAAACCAAGAAACCTTTCTGCTAACTACATATACATATAGTCACTTAGGGAAAATACAAAATTCCAACTCCCTTCTCCTCTCTAGACAAACATGCATTTCCAAAACAGAACCAATTAACCTAACATATCCAATACTACGTAAATTTAGACCCTCCCCCATTGTAATTTTACGTTGAACAGAAACACGGATACGGATAAACACAAAAACCCAAACCCAAATCCAAAAACCCCTAAAAACCAAACCCATTAAAGCAAACCAAAACCAATAGAATAACCCATCCAAATTGGAATTAGAAAAGAATTCACAAAAGTGTAACTAAGAAAAAAACGAAAAAGAAAAAAACGAGAAATATGACGCAAAAGAGATTTATCCAGTGATTTTGAGTGAACCAGCCCATTGCGCACAGCAGATGGAATGTGTCTCATAGATGGCATTCCATCTCGACTGGCGCGGCATCGAGGCACAATTGATAAAATTTAATGGTTGCGAGCAATAATATCTGCGTGTTGATGAATTGCATGATTTTTTGGTGATGCAAACGATGATCGAGCGAATTATTGCATGGACCTAGGACCTAGGCCTCGTGTAAGAGTTCGCTCATTCATCGCAGTGAGAACAGCGAAACATCGTACACAGTCTAACTTTTGGTATTGATATGAGTTATTTATAATTTATAATATTTTTTTTTGATTTTTGGTTTAATATTATATATTAAATACTAAAAGTTTATACACTGTACAAACACCAGAGGCAATTCACTACAAACAAAAAGTTGAACAATGAATAGGATAGAAAGGCAAGTCGAACAAATACGATTACCGATATACATATACTCGATATGTATATATACATACTTATATACCAATAACAATGAACATCACAAGACCATAGAACTCAGAACATGCCAGTGCATGGGTAATTATGTGCTTCGCTTCAGTATTGAGCGCACGAAACATACATACTTGAAAACGAACAAAGAGACAACCAACACATATACTCGTAACCCAAGGAGCTTTATACAATTATATACATACTCGTATGATAGAGTCGATCTCTGCGATCGGGAGTCAGTCTAATCGGGCCTAATCTCTCATACATTTGATACATAGATACATACAAATACTATGTAAATTCACTAGCAAATACTCGATTGTTGGATGACTCTTCTATCCTTAGAGTATGATCTTACAGTATGTTACTGTCCGCTAACTAGCCAAGCACACAATTTCTACAACTAAACAAAATAAATAACACATGCAACAAAATCTTAAAAATTAACATGGCATGGGAGTCGGTCGAGCAAATGCTAAGAAGAAGACGGAGGAGAAACTCGGACAGATCTTCTTTAACAGAGGCAAAGAAGATCCCAGGCCAGAGACTATTTCCTGTCTTGACTCCTTGCCATTTTTCTCGACGCGATACCCAATGCCAGAATCGAACGAATGTAATGCAAAATTGAGTTTGACTAATTTCACACAGCATTTTCTTTTCACACAAAAGAAAACGTTAAACATGAAATTAATTTTTTAATTTTTAAGTTACAGTTATTCTGCTTCTAATTGTAAATCTTGTGCAATGAAAACAATCAGAATTTTTCTTTGAATATAAACTAAGCGAACAAATCGAAACGAAACAGAAACAAAAACTGATACAAGCAAACAACAGCAATGCAACAGCAAATGCAGAGAAAAACAAAACAATAACAATAATTTGCAAGAATAAATAATGGGAAATATGATAAGTAACTAAACGAATTCACACAATATAGTCTAAGCCACACTGATTACACAGACCGCGAAACTCTTAGCTGTAATTAAGATTCTATCCAAAGAGCTGAAAGAAACAGAGATACGAGTACAACCACAACAGAACAGCTAGCAATAGTTTTAAGACAAACCAAACGAGGATATTGAGGAATGGTTCTACTCGTATTCGAATTATTGTTTAATTTTCTATGAGTTTGGGTTTTAGACAATTTTGAAGCAATTTTATATCGAATTTTGTATGCCAGCCATTTTATAGCTATACAAACTTTTGATTAAACCTTTCCATTTCAGTTTTAACGTTGTTTTTCGGGACAGTTTGAATTTGTATGTATAAATAAGGTTTAGCTTTTGATAAACGATAAATGGGGTAACCAAAATGTATGTGGAATGGAGATATTTTGATGAAAGGTGAAATTCTATGTATATTTTGTTAGATGCCTACCACATCAGCGCGAATACAAATAGATCACAGACAGATAGACAGATTTTGTGGGGATTTTTGTTCGTCTTTTTGATATGGATATACGTTTATTTTGTATGCTTTTCCAAGTGAACGTCAGTGAGAACAATTAACGATAGATTTCAATCCTACGCATAAGAATATCTATAAATAGAGAACATAGCAACAAGCTGCCAGCATGAGAAATAAAAACAATAACTAATTTTAAATGTTTTATACATTTCCATCATTTGTGCTCATTTAAAGAAAAAACCGAGTCAGAAAAAAGGAAATAAACTCAAATAAAATAAAAAACCAGCATTGGACAGATTTCAAGCAGCAGTCGATACGGGATTATGTTCAACATTCAATTAGCTGAAGTTGAAGGAGCGTCTACACATAAGCAATTTTTAAACGAAATGTCACCCAAGTAAATAGATTTAGAAAATAGTGAGGCCCCACGAGGTGGAGGAATCTAATCGAACATATTATTCACATCCAGACAACTGGGCCAGTTGGTTGGGATTAATACTCGTACTAATACATTTCTAGGGCGTAAAATGGACAGTTTGGAAAGCGTTTCTTTCATCATACATACGGTACACGACACATGCATATATAAATATACATATATATATGTACGTGTATATTTAAATGATATACATATGTATATGTGTGGGTGCAGACATATATATACTTCTTTTTTACACTGGCAAACAAGTATAGAGTATACATACATATAGCATACCTTGTAATACATAATACAAGAAAATATTTGAAAGCAAATGAAACTTTTTCCTACAACTAGTTGCATTTAAATGAATTTTAAAAAATATACCTAAAAGTATATATTTATTAAAAACAAAACAAAAACCAGAAAACAAAACAAAACAAAAATGAAACACAAAAACCAACTCTTTCTCTACTAAAAACAAAACCAACATACAGAAAAAAAAGAAAATAAAACTTTAATATACCATTTAATTAGACATTTAATAAGGGTTCAATGAAAACCGAGTCAAGCGAGAAGAATCGTAAACTAGTAAATATTTATATTAAATTAATTTTAAAAAGTGAAGAACAAAACAGAAAACACAAAAACAAAAGAGAAGCGCTGATTTTTTATGTCGTTATTAGTATTTAAATTTAAATAATTGCATATAAAGAAAACATACAGAATTAAATGAGAAAACCAAAAATATAAGATATAAAACATAAAAAAAATTAGAAGAAAATTGACAAATTGGTCATTTTGACCTAGTAAATTATAGAAAAAAATAAAACCAAAATTGAAAGTAAACAAAAACAAAAAACAAAAGAAGGAACCCCGAGAAAACGATTGTAAAATTTTAATTATTATTATTCAATAATAAATACAAAAAAAGGAAAGATTTGACAGAAATACCAACATATACAATTAGGTTTTATTTCATTCCAACTTTAACACGTACTCATTATTACCTTGGAGAGAGGATCCTGATGCTCAAGACGAAGATGCAGCCGCCTTCAAAAGTCGGAAAGGTAAATTGTGTCTCGTCCTAGACATAAGCTGATAATTAAGATATAGGCAATGTACAATAGAACGAGTACACGTTAACACCAAGCACATATCTGACCAATGTAAATATGTACAAATGTTCAGTCGATCAATATTCATAAAGTCCTATTCCATAGCATCATGAATTCATTGCAAAACGACACTTAACACATTGTACAAAACAAAGCTTAGTTTACTTAGTAATAGAAGACAAGCAAACATTATAACCTGAAGAAAAAACAGGACTACACATTGCTCTGATATCATAACTATATTCAAAGTGTTAAAATTTCCCGTCTGACTATCAAGAAATAGAAGCTTGCAAATTTTACTAACGAAAAATTCTGATTCCCTGCGCAGTTTGTCAACAACCAGCTGAAAGTTAAATTAAAATCCAGTCGTTCCTTTACGATCTTCTTATAACAGAAATAACTATAAAACAAAAACATATGTATATCCAGCTAGCCAATCAACTGATCTTACCCTCGAATAGCAGAAGGGATGCTGCGTGTATGTATGAAAAGTATTTTACCAAATCTCATTTTTATTAACCAAGAACATATGGAAGAACGTTGACATACTGTTTTCGCCAGAAACAATTTCCTATTTAATCCCAATTTTCGGCATGATTTCTTTATATCCTACCGCTATTTATCCAAAAACTTCACTCAAATTAGATACATTTTCTCAAAAATTGTACAAGTTTTCCCTGTAATCAAGTCGGATTTCCCAATACTCTTGCATTGTTTATAATTTTTCTTTAGCATGTTACAATCCCTTTTAAATATTCATATGATACAATTTATTAACGTCTTATTTTCCCCTCGAATGCTAACATAATTGCGAGTATCCCGGAGATGGAGTCGGAGAGATGGTGAGTGTATAAAAACTCACCAAAAAAATATTTGTTTCATTAAGTATACATTTTTGTATAGAATAAAATCATCGACAACATTGGATACGTGGAATTTTCTGATACTGGAATACGGAACATCATGTGGAAAATCATCATAGTTAATATAGAGTATACAAATGTTTGTGTTTTATTTTTCTGAGATGTTTTTGTGTACAAGTAAGAACATGAATATTTATAATTTTGTCTCACAACACAATTAATTCTATTCCGTTTTTTATTATTAGTAAGAGCATATTCTGAGTTCCCATCAGCGAATGGGAAGTCGATTCCACATATTGTATTTAATATACTCACTCTAAGTCTTAACCAGACCAGAAGGGACGGTGTGAGTCGCCCCTGTTGCCGCGATTCTACTTTTATACCCGTACTCAGTCAGTATATTATCAGTTTACATATTTTCGCAACATCTTCTAAACTTCTCACACGAACACGCCGTTCTAACTCGCGTACGAGCGAGAAGAAGAATAAGTAGCGCCTTCTGCTCTGGAGGGGGTGGGGTAATAACTGAAAATTAGTTCTTCATTCTGGATATAATAATGATCCGATCTGAACCAGATTCGGCAATCTGATAGAAACGATGCTCAGTTTTTTTGTGTTCTCGTACCTTCAAAATTTTGGACGCCACAGATTTTAGTCTTTTGTGGGGGCGGTTTTTGAAACTTTGAAATACACTTGTAACAGTGTGATATCACAGAGTCTGGAAGGGAAATTTTGTTGCTCTAACTCTTAAAGTCTCTGAAAACTAATCGACACACAAGACGGACAGACGGACGGACTGACAATAACTATTTCGACTTGGCTTCTGTTGCTGATCAAGAATATATATACGTCTGTCGATTACACACATTCACTTCGACCAAATCTCTAATAAAAATCCCTTCGAGTACGGGTATAAAAAGGTTACAAATAAGATCAATACTACAAATATGCACAATACAAATATAATTATAGACTAATTATGGAATATTCTTGGTATTCAGTCCTTGGTAATGTTCGTTAATTATTATTAAACATGCTGTATATATTTATGTTTTAAGAACTTAAAAGCTAAGCACTAAACCAAAGAGAACGGCATTGGATATCATTTCGGTCACGCCCACGCACAATGAACACGGCCTGGGATCCAAGAATCGCCGGACTGACGAGATCCCGGCAGGAGTGTTTGAGGAACTGGATATGGGCTGAGGCGGAGACTTTATTAACATTTACCCTGTAGCGTAAATTGCTAACTGGTGACACAATTAATATGTCGTTTGAGGTTACACAAACATTTATTGATTTCGATAAGAATAAATTAAGAAATTTGTATGATATTTGCAAAAACTACTTTCATTCGGACTAGAACAATATAATAATGGAAGTCGTCGACTCTACTCTTATACCCGTGTACTCAGTCAGTATATAAATTTGTCAGCTTATAATTTATTTCGAATTTTAAAATATTTTAGATTTTACATTTTGTTGCTACATCTGTTATCTACATCTACAATGACGATTACACATCTCTAATGTATATT